ATCCCCGGGGAGCAGACCATGGGATCCTACTGGACCGCTAGGGCTGCGGACATGAGGTCACCCATTCAACACCCTCAGGTCCCAGCCAACAACTTTGAGGTGAGCACCTCCGTGATCACCATGCTGCGCGGTTCAGTAGTGTTCCGTGGTAAGGAGGGAGAGTGCCCTCGATCACATCTCAGGCGATTCCACGAGCTCATCGATGGAATCAAGATCAATGGGGTACCAGCGGATGCCATCCAGCTGAGGTACTTCCCATTCACTCTGGAGGGGCAGGCCAAGGAGTGGCTAGACACTCGACCTCCGGGCTCCATCACCACGTTCGCTAACCTGGCGGACAAGTTCCTCACCCGCTACCATCCTCCATCCAAGACAGCTGATCTCCAGAAGCAGATTACACATTTCTCTCAGGATGAGGATGAGACCATTAGGGATGCTTGGGAGAGGTACACCAGCCTTTCTATCACGCCCTCTTCCTGGAGGACAAGCAGCTGATCGATTCGGTTTGTGGCGGGAACATGCTGACCAAAAACCCGCCACAGCTGAATCAACTCTTTGAGCAGATGGTGGAGAACGGTTATGACTGGGGCACTGCCAGGAGATCGAGACGAGCACCTGGACGGAGTGTGCATGCTGTGGGCACCCAGTCATCTGATTTGGTGCAGGTAGTATCGAAGCTTGTCTCAACTATCGATCGTTCCGGGATGATTCCAGGGACCGGACAGCAGCAGGCGATGCTCTGCCAATGGTGCGAAAGCACCCATCATACGGTGGAGGACTGCCAGGCGATGAAGGAATCAACCACACCCCAGGAGCAGGTGAACTTCATCAACAATGTCAGGCGCAATGACCCTTACAGCAACACGTACAATGAGGGGTGGCGCCAGCATCCTAACTTCTCCTGGGCTGGGCCAAATCCCAAACCACCAGCTCCCCAGGGACCACCAGGCTTCCAGCGGCCACCATATCAGCCCAGACAGGGGCAATTCCAGCAGCAACAGCAGTCTCTCTATCAGCCCATGCAGGGGCATGCTGCTCAATCACAGCCGCGGCCTTTCCAGCAGCCAGGTGCAGCCCCTGCTGCCCCAGTGCAGAATGATCAGATGGCTGAACTGCGGGACTTGGTAGGTTCTCTCGCCAGTACTAGTGCTCAGAAATTCAACACCTTTGAGCAGTTCATGGAGAAGGCCTCGGGTAAACTCCTGGCTCTTGAAGTTGGTCAGAGGAACACACAGGCTGTTTTGCAGGATATCCAGACCCATCTGGGGAGCGTGGCCCAGGCAGTGGCTCAAAGGGCTCCTGGTACTCTACCCGGGCAGACCATCCCTCATCCGCAGACCCCGGATGAGCGCTGCAATGCCATCATGACCAGGAGTGGCAAGCTGACTTTTGATCCCCCTGCTCGGGAACCGGAGAGAGAAAGCCCTGTTGCAGCATCTCCAGCGGTTGAACAAGAAGTAGAGAAGGAGGTTGAGGTGCCTGCACCTAAACTGCAACCAGTAGTGAAGGAGTATGTCCCTAAACTCCCTTTCCCTACTCGGTTGCACAAAGACAGGCTGGAGACAGAGTTCGAGAACTTCATGGCCATGCTTAAGAAGCTGAATGTCCAAGTGCCCTTTCTGGAGGCACTATCGCAAATGCCGAAGTATGCGAAGTTTCTGAAAGAGCTTCTCTCAAAGAAGCAGAAGCTGAGTGAGCTGGCCATTGTGGAGCTCAGCGAGGAGTGCTCGGCTATTCTGCAGAACAAGCTTCCGCAGAAGAAAAAGGACCCAGGTAGTTTCACTATCCCGTGCTCTATTGATAAATTGCATGTAGAGAAGTCCTTGGCGGATTTAGGTGCTAGTATCAATGTTATTCCATATAAATTGTTCATGAAACTAGGCCTAGGTGAACCCCGTGCTACTAGGATGACCCTTCAATTAGCTGACAGATCTGTAGTGCATCCTAGGGGTATAGTGGAAGACCTTCTGGTTAAAGTTGGCAAATTCACCTATCCTGTGGATTTTGTTATCCTGGACATCAGTGAGGACACAGAAGTGCCTCTTATACTGGGAAGGCCTTTCCTGGCCACCGCCAAGGCTCTCATAGATGTGCATGATGGGACCTTAGTTTTGAGGGACGGCGAGGAGCGAATAACATTTTTCAGTTGCTAACACTATACCTGCTTCGTTACCTCTGCATGCTCTATCTCACCAGGAGCACGAGTCTGTCGTGTATCCTTCTGTGCTGCCTATTTTGCAGGGGACGCCCCCCACACCTTCGCCACCACTCCGGACCACTCCGTCATCCAAAGAACAGGTCAAGGAGGAGTGGCGGCCGAAACTGCAGGCAGCTAAGCCTGCTCGAAAGAAAGCCGGAGACCACTATGAGCTGGTCCCGCCCCCACCTTGGCCATCCGAGTATTCACTCGCATGCATCCTACCGGATGGCCAAGTCGAGCTGGAAAATGCAGGTGGCCACATTCGTCGCGTGCATGGCCACCATTTGAAGCTGTACCTCAAGAGCGATGTGGATCCGCTCTTGAAGGCACCTGATCCTACACTTCCCTGAGCATCCATACTGGCATCCAGCTAAAAGACGGTAAAGAAGCGCTTGTGGGGAGGCAACCCCACCGAGGTTTGCATTTTCTTACTCTTTTTCCTTTGATTTTGTGTGTTTTTGAGTCTTGAGACGTTGATCCAGAGTCCAGTGTCGTTTTTGAGTGAAAACAGGTTGATTTTGGGGCTCCAGCATGTCGCACGGCCAGGACCTCCCATTGCACGGCCGTGCGCTGTGCCGGGCCTGGCCGTGCGAGCTCTCGGCCAGTTTTTCGGCGTTTCGTCGATTCCATTGTCTTCCCCTCATCACCCCCTACACCTCTACTTGAGTCTCCAGGGCAATGGCGCAACCTAATCTCCAGCACCCATTCATCCGGGATCTCAGGAGGGGCCCCACCGCAGAGCGCTTCCGGAAGGTCGCGGAAACCCCGTTTGGCGCCCACCATTGCTGGTCCAAACGGGAGTTTCGGCGATTGCACTACTACGAGCAGCTCTCCGCCGCGGTCGCCAACACCGCATGGCGCCGTCTGCTCCAGATCTGCGAGAAGGTCTACTATGAGCCGGTGTGGGAGTTCTACACGACCTTCAAGCACAATTCCACGACCAGTTGCCGGGACGGTACAGCCGTCCAATTCAGGCTGGGCGGTGTCCCCCGGTCCTTGAGCTACCACGAGCTGGCCGAGGCTCTCGACCTCGACCTCGACCTCGACGACAGTGAGGACTACGTCACCGAGGTAAATGAGACACCGGAAGTGGACTTCGTGAGGCTGTACACCAGCCTAGCTCGGCCAGGCCAGACGGGTCCCTTCCGGTCCGGGAGGACCAAGGCATCTACCCTACAGATCGAGAACCGACTTCTCCACCACCTGCTGGCGAAGTCTTACACTCCTGCCGCTGACAGCGCCGGCGCCATCACGAAGAGGCCCCTGTACTTCCTCCATTCGATCCGCCAGCGCCGCCATCCTCTCCACCTGGGTTCGGTGGTGGCCAAGACATTCGAGAAGACGGCCACAGAGCTGAAGAGCCTCCACTGCGCCACCCTCATCACCCGCCTGGTCACCTTCTTTGGCCTTTCACTGCAGGGGTGCACCGAGGAGGGGGACACCCTCATCTTTGGCAGCGCGACGATCGGGAAGATGCTGCTGTTGCGGGAGAGGAACGGTGTTCAATGGGTCGAAGGGTTTCCGGAACATCCGATCCCCGCGGAGCCCGTACCAGAGGCCCAGGCCGATGAGGTGGATCCCGAGGAGGTGGATGCCGCTGCTGATGCTGCTGGTGATCCACCACAGACTGACTTCCATTACGGGGGTAGCAGCTCCACTTTCCAGGGCCAGGATTACTTCGCCCAGCAGTTCGAGCAGCTGAGGATCCAGAACCAGCTGATCCTCGACCAGCAGATGCAGTTCCATCAGCAGTACGCGGCAGATCAGGCCGAGTACCGGAACAGGATGGATGCTTATGACGTGCGGCTGAACACGATCCAGACTCAGCAGGACGTGACTCTCGCCCACATCGAGCGGGAGAAGCGCCGTTCACGGCGCATGCAGGAGGTTCAGCAGCACCTGCTTCAGCTGATTCCGGGCGATCCACCTGTCTGGAGGACTCCCTGGGATGACTCCCCTCCACATGACGGTGCTGCTGGCGCTGCTGATGATGATGCGTTCATGAACGACATCGACCTCGACGATCTTGGCGACGAGTAGGCTGTACTCGTTGCCCGTCTCAGTGTGTTTTTTTTTTCCTTTTAGACTTTTGTGTGTTTGCTCCATGTGTACGGAGCTTGAACTTCGTGTCCTTTGTGGTTGTTTTTGGTTTTTCCCTTGTGGTTTGATGTAGCCGTCTGGGCTAACACTTATCCCTAACGCACAGTGTGCTAGTGTGTTTCTGGTGTTCGATTTGTGCTGCATTGTCCACTACCCCGTTCGTTTCTCGCTGACTGGTCCACTTCCAGTCCCCCAGCAGTGTTCTTACCCGGTAACATCGTTCCCCTTATCTTTCCCTCTACTCCATTGAGGGCAATGCAGGAAGCTTTTGAAAACGCAGTGCACCCAGGTAAATAAGGAACGAGATGAATACAGAGGTTAAACGAGCATCCCACACCCAAAAGGTACCCCATCATAAGAATAGAAGAAATAGGTTTAGACCAAGTGACAGAACTCTCTATGAGTTGGGCTACATAAAAGATCCTATTATAAAATGGGTGTAGGCTTAACTAAAGTCCAATGCAGGTTGAACTCTCTTGTTTTTCGTTCAACTAACACACTTGAGGAAAGATAGAAAGAACTCGTCTTTATATACACGCTTTAATGGAACTTTAGCTGTAGCTGGTCGTGACCAAGAAACCACCGGTTTACGCCCTCGGGATGGATACGCGGGTACTGGTTCTCAAACGGACTCTGCAGGATTAGGAATTGGCTGCGGTCATCAAGTGACCAATAAACAGATGGGATCTGGTCTTTCGTGTCAGAAGGCGAAGAGAAGTAAAAAAGTAGACATCATGAGGGCAAAGAAAAGGCTGTTGTGCTTCCCGGTGAGGTGTGGGCAAAGATGCTTTGGGAATGAGAAAGAAAAAGAGAAAGAGAAAAGGACTGGCAAAGACCGTCTGGCGAAAACGCCGCAGGCGCGAAGCGTGGTAGGCCTGCACCGGGGGAGCATAGGGAGGAAGGGGAGCCCGGACGGTGGAAGAGCCAGGGGAGGCCGGGGGTGTTTTGTATTGTATCGAACCCCCCCACATGGTAGCGATCCAACTAAAGATTTTTATTCCAGTGGGGACAGCTATGATCATGGTAGCTGCGGTGAAGTAGGCACGGGTATCAACGTCTAAGCCCACAGTAAACATATGATGAGCCTTTCGGCCATTGATCTAATTGCAGTTCTAGGACCTCGGCAGGAAAGAGCTTAGATGACAGGCTTAGGACAATTGCCTGGTCTGCCGATGCTTTGTCGGGTAAAACTACTAAGGTTAAAGCCCTTTAGATGGTGTGGCCATTGAGAACAAATATCTGCCCTAACTATAACCTATTTGTCAAAAAGTTAAAGACTCTCTAAAGGAGGTAAATCAATGGATACGGGTACGCCCGGAAGCAGCCCCTCCACTTCTATGGGTTGTTCCAGCCTCCGCTAGTGGGTGGTTTTTCATTTCTACAACGGGTGCTTGGTTCAAAAAAAGCTTATGAGTTGAGTTCGTACAGAGCTGTAATCATCGCCTTTCTCAGATCTTCAGATAGACAGAATTCGTTGTACACGTGAGATTGGCCAGATGGGCTTTTGCTTTGTTTATTCGGAGTTCTTTCCGGTGAGTAATTCATGCACCGCAGAAGCTATTCCTTCATGAGCGCTTCCCTCCTATGGTCCGTACGCTTAACATATGCAAATCATAGAAAACCATAGGTGTGGGCAATCCATTCGCCAAAAAAAAGGCTACCTACGTACGCGAGGCTAGAGCGCGATTTATTGTTGGAAGAGTTTTCACCGAAGCCGGTTACCGCCTTCCGGGACTTCAGACTATGCTTTTGCCGCTCAACTCAAATCAGTTGCACGAGAGCCCTCAACCTTTCATCAAGCATCTACTGATCCGTCTTGGGCACTTCTTTTTCATATTCAATTAAATAAGGAATCTCCGCCATGTTCTCAATCCATTTATTCCAAGATCGCCTGAACAAGAGCTCAAAGGCATTCTTCTTTTTGTTGGTTCTCTGCAGAGGTTATGAAAATACATAGGCCCCTTCCCTTCTTGAGATGGTTTAGAAGGCGCTTTCCGATCTACGGTCCCTCGGAGCGAAGGGTTAGGCAGGCTTCTGGTTCATTTTGTTACTAAAAACGGAGGAGCTGGACCTGATCTTTAATCCTACACCGGTTAATGACGCGATGGGAGAAGTTTTTTTTTTTTATTTCACAATGCTGGCCCAGTCGAGGCTCGTCCATGCCCAATCCCAATGGACAAACCTTCGATCCGCCCTCAAATGGCATATGTAGTTCCCATAAAAAGAAAGACTCCTCCCCGAGAACAGTTCTTTGCCTTAAATTCAAATAAGCTCTGTGTCGAACTTCATTCACGCTATGATTTAAGATCTGGTAGATCCGTTGTTTTGCCGGTGCAAACTCGTGTTCTTCGTTGATGTAACTTTTGAGCGAATAAAATCTCCGATTTTTAAGCACCAGCCAATCGATAAAGAAAGGTAACGAAAGGTGTTATAGTCCTTTCTTTGTCTTTTCCGATTTATAAGACTCCTAAGAGGCCACCAGAGACTACGATATAGACCCTTAAGCATGACATGTAAGACGTCTAGCTCGTCTGTCCTTGGTCTCATGGCGGCGGCTGCGGGGGGCTAGTCTCGCTCTTGGACTCCAGCCTTTATCTCCTGCTACATCTGTCTCAAAACTTTCGATCCACGATTGTGACGGCTCTTTGCTTGTTTAATCTATGCACGCAAAAGACAGATAAAGAAATAAAGAAAGAAGAAAGCCCAACCCAGATTGAATGAGATTTATCCCCTTCTATTCTATGTGGTCTATCTTTGTACGCTTATAGGCTAATTCCTAGTCTCTATTCCATGACGCCCGTAAGCCAAGATTCAATTCCTGGAGATGAGTCTAAGACTAAGTTTACTGCTTTATGTGGGGAAAAAAGGTTCTTCTCGATACAATTCAAACGTTATGTCACGGAATCGCTTTGCCCGATTCGATGTTGGAGCTGCGTAGCTTCCTTACCGATGAAGCCTGAGATTAGAGTAGGCTCTTGCGCCGAAGATGAACGAGGCTAAGCGATCTGCCGAAGCTGTGGGGTGCCCATAAATCTCATAATAAGTACCCAAAGAATCATAGTGAACTTCGATAGGAGCTTTCCTTGAAACAATAACGCGTTTGCATTGCATGGCGAGCTCTATGAATGCTGTAGGCGTCCCCGTCGCGACCGTAGGGAGAAGGTGCGAAGTTGCTCGCATTTGAATTAGAACAAGAAGGAGAGAAGCTTAGCTTTTCGTTACCCTCAACAGCAAAACCGGACCAAGCATTAGGGCTATTCCCTAAGAATGGGTGTGAGTATGGAAAAACGGAATTTACTTTTATATAACTCTACCTATCCCTTATCTCCGAATCAGCCCCCAGGAACAATAAATAGTCACTTGAGTACGCCCGGAAACTATAGCGGGTTACTTGAGTTCCCAGTAAAAACTCTCGCTAATAAGGCATAAGAAGGCTTTCTGTTCGATGGAATCCCATCCTTTCTTTTATAGAGATAGGGAAAGCTATTCCATGGTTAGGACGGCGTCAGGTAGGTGGGAAAAAGCATGATGCTCAATTGAAAGTTGACCTCTCTAGCTGAGCGTGTGACGCATGCACATTCATTAGTGCGAAAGCCTTGTTTAGATGCACCTCTTCCCTCTCATCCCAGGGTTTGGCAAGGAATTCAATCAAATGTTCGTTCGTTGTTCAATATCTCGGCTGCTCAAGAAGTTGGACTAGCTTAGCTGCTCCTCCGACCCGGAGTGGCCCAATGTCGAATTTCGTTTTTGTACTGAAGGGTGTTCCCTCTCCTTTTTCCCCTTCCGGTCATCAAGGAAGAACCTGAACAACTTTTGGGCGTCATTCTTCTCGTCAGTGGCATGACTTCCTCAAGACCAATAGTCGACCTAGCTCAGTGGTTCCACCCTCGCCATAAAGTAAAGTTGAGATAGGAGAGGGGGGAATATGTTCGACCGAAGGGCGTCAATTGAATAAGCACTTCCCTCAGAATTCGTCGAACTCGAAATAAGAGGCTTTGCCTTGGTCTTTATTGCGCACTAGTCGGGCGTCCAAACAGGCCTGGAAAAACAGATACGATCCCCTTTTCGTTTTCTTGAATCCCTAGCTTTTCGTTCCTTATCTGCCGTCACTATCAACTCCTTCTACAAGGGCAACAGGGGGGATGGGACAACTACCCGCAGAAACTAGATCGCTTGTCCAGTACCACCAGTACCCAAAATACATCTCCTTCGCCCCCTTAGAGATAGGGCTTACTTTCTTGTGGTAGTAATTGCTTCCATAGGTCCTTGGTTCGACCTCCTAATGAGATAGGGCTTCCACCAGCTCCGGTATCGCTTTATTTTTTGCCTTCTTCTGGCTGATCTCAAGTCCCCCCGGGTAATTAGCGGTAAGGAACTGGGACGTCTTTCCTACCACGGGGATGACCCCTCCTTCTACCCGCTGAGGTGAGGCCTAGTAGTTACTGTGTTCGTGCTTAAGTGTGGGGGGATGCTTTGTATCGGTTGAAATATTTATGATGGTGCTTGGAGCCTAGTCCGCTGTCCGAATCTTACGATTTGAGGGCTCCAAGTACTGCTGTTTGATCATATTGGCACTGTGTTTTTATGGATGAATTGATTGGTTTTCGGATTAATGCATGACAACTTGTTTGCGACTAGGACAACCTATGATGAGGACTGAGATGTACAGTGGAACGATGTAGGGGTTCAGTTTTCCAACTGTTTGCTTGCCAACTGTGACTTGATCTGACTTGATCTGACTACTTGTTCTTGACAGTCGTTTATGCATCTAGTTCAGGGTATCAGAATGTGAGATAGAGCATTTAGGTATCCATGTGAGATTTGAGCCTGCTCGTTTCTTTCTTGTGCGATAGATCCCTCTTCCATGATGTGTAGCATTCACGTTGTCACTAGCTAAGATGATGGGGGCATAGGATTAGCCCACGCCCAAAACTGACTGTCCTGATGTGTCATATCCCCTAGTCAGCCCCTTTGAGCCGTGTGTTATCCTTTCTTTTGGTCTATAATGGAAAAAATCACCCTTGTTGCATCTTTTAGAAGGTTCCACAGAGTGATTTTTATATATTCTCTGCTGTTTCTGCTAAAGTCTATGTGAGTGTTGGAGGTAGTGCTTAAAAGTTGGGCAGGTGTTTGAAATTTATGCAGAAGTGGTGGCTCTCTTAGGAAATGAAAAGAAAAATGAAAGTGAAACAAAGAAAAAAATTGAAAGCAAAAGAGAGCCACTACCAAAAATCTGAATAATGCCCAGTAAGTAGTGTTTCTTAGCAGTCTGGCTTGGAAATGCTGATGTTTATGCCTCCTTCGCTCTTGTGCTCTTAAGATACTGAGTAATGCAGAATAGCAGAAAGAAAATACCGGTTTGTTTGACTGTGATTGTGTGTTTGGAAAATGTGGAACCTTCTGTTATGAATACTTCCACCACCAAAAGGGTCTTTTCCCCATGTCCAAGACCCTAGCCAGTCATTTGAACCTGTGTCTAAGACCTCCTGATTAGTTAGTGGTGACACCCCATATGTGAACTCTAGCATTTAGAGGCTACCATCATGGTGAAGAGATGATAGGTATTGAGAGAAATAGCATGCGCATCTTTCGCATCAAATTGTCCTGACCCCACTGGTCGAGAGTGAGTGATTCATTTTCATCTTCTATATGCTCTTGTACCCCGGTGAGGACCTAGATTGCTCGGTCTCTATTCTGATGTCTTGAGTTGGATGCATGAGTTGACTGTTTTGAGTAAGTGGTTGAATCAAGTCTAGGTTGGCCAGTGAACAAAAGGGAGACTCTTCCTTTACTCGATTTGCTGCACTCGAATGTCCTTTGTGGTGGTTGTCCAGGTTGTTATTGAGGTTGTGCATGTATTGATGTTTGAAAACCAGTGCGATTCACGTGTTT